TTTGTTAGCATTTTGTAAATTGTTTTCATTAGCCGTCACTTTACCATCGTCAATGTTTGACTGAGCAATGTCTTTAAGTGATAAACATTTTGAATTTTCAGAATCGCAAATGTTTGTATGGCAGAACTTGAAATTGTCAACCCCTTGCTTAAATTGAATACCCGTCTTGTCAGGATGAACCACATGTTCTGGTGCGTAAATATTACGACTTTTCCGTAGTTCATTGCTGTTTACAAATGAACGCGATTCATTTAAAAGATTCATAATTATTTCCAAGGGCGTAGGACATTCATAGTTCCGCAATTTCAACAAAAATGCAAATGTTTTGTAAACTTCCGAGCGACAATTCCAGATGTTCCGCAAAGATTCTTTTGTTGTCGGTTCTGAATGTATTATAATGCAAATTCCCAATAAGGCGTTATGCACGTCCTGTAAAAAAAATAACATAAATGATATGAACTTGATACTGTGTGAATAATACTTTCCTTTAAAATTTGCTTCTTAAGTAAATGTCCAGACGATAATAACAATTGTTGCAGGCAAAAATGAGCTTGAGCTCGAAGCATGTTATTATCAAAGTGCACCTCCAACATCGAAAATATAGTTTTCGATGAGCATTTGTTCTTTAAATTTGATTCGTCTCGCTTGGAAAGGAAAAATGTATTAAAATTAATATTTAAGGTTGTACAATATAATATTTACGCATGATAATAAAGTTTCGTTTCGCGGAACTAAGTCGACTAATATTTCCTTAACAAGAGTCTCCGAAATAATTTCACAGTGGCTTCCTTCTTGTAGGGTAGAGCACCATAACGATATTACTCTGTACAGTATTAGGCGAACATTGCTAAAAATGTAAAATTTGAGAACATTAGTAAGTTGTTCAAGAGAAGTCCGCGTTTTATGCCTATCAGAGTTTAATCCTACTTGGTTTTACCGCAAATTTCTAAAGCCGACAGTTTTTAAGCTGTTCAGATGGCCAACATCCAGACCAAGAATTTCCGTCTTTTAATGTATTATTTAAGCTCTATATTAAAAACTTATAAGCTGAAAAATAAAACCGTTGTAACGTTAAGCAACAGCACTGCTAAGGGATGAAACAATGGGTATCCAAAAATAGAGAAGCATAATCTACTGGAGAGTTCTTAGGCTTTAGTTGACTTTTTTGTACCACCTCAGACTCAAACCTGACTTTTTAGTAGAGGAAAGTGTTGTAGATTGGGAAACTTCTTTGAGACGCTGCCATTTGGACATAAGCTTATGAAACTTTACGTGGTACCTTTAGAAAGCTTGATCTCTAAGATAAATACTAAAAGAACCAATTTGGGTCAGATTTTAACGATTTACGTTTCTCTTTTTATATTTAATAGAATTTTACAAAAAATAAAAAATGTTAAAGGACTGCAAAATATAAAATCTGGCTTGTGCTTCGTTTAAAATACATTTACTTTAAATTTAATAACTAAAAAATTATTTTTTTTAATTTAGAATATCTAATATTATATATATTACTTAATGTGTTTGCCAATGTGTTTGCCATTAACGACTCCTGTAAATTGAAGTGTCATTCGCTTTAAAAATGGGAGGCGTAAATAGGCATACCAAAAAAAGAAAATACTAGTTTCAACTGTTGCCACCTTTTGCTATCACTACCTGGAAGGGTTGTAAGGTTATGAACCAACTCTGTACTATCTTAAAATTCAGTGGAATCCAGGTCGAGATGTGATCTTCATAAAAACAACAGAATTTAATCTTAGCCTTGTTCCCACCAAACAAAATAATTCTCAGCGTCCACTACCGAGTTGCTCAAGCTAATATTTCAAGAAAGGTGGACGGCAATTTCCTACGCCTAGAGGATCTAATAAAAATATAAATAAAATAAGTACAAATAAAATACAATAAAATAAATACATTAGCCATAACAATATTACTCATCCACGGCGCACGCCGATATATACTATCCAATAAATTTATAATGTGAAAAGGAATTCAAAACTATGGTGTGCTAGAACTTTAACAGGGAGGGTGTGCTGACGGGAGAAGTGGAGTATGTCAAGAACAATGACATAACTTTCGTCGGACAACCTTGACGATAGGGGATCGTATTGTACGGCCCGCGACGATCCAGGGAATATGGCCGAAACACAGGCCGATCGTGTTGCGATCAAGCGACAGCTGAGCTTGTTGGGCAGTGTGGACTGACGACAGCCGAACTTTACGGACTAAAATTATTTTCCAGGCACTTTAAATATTTATTCTCGTTACGAGAACAGGGGATCGTATTGCACGGCCCGCGACGATCCGTTTGGCACACGAATGTGTGAAGGGAAGGGAATATGGCCGATACACGCGGTAACACATGCTCCTCGCGCGTTCATAGCTTAAAGATAACTAGGAGGCTTTAACAGCCGCGATTAATATGTTCTTTAGTCACTCAGTATTTCCATTTCTTCGTTTTTGCAACCCCAAAATCTCCACAGTCCGCTAAGCGATTTTACACGGAGTTGCGCTCTTAGTAGCCATAAAACGGGCTCGGTTTTAAATAACAACTAACTACCAAAAATTGAATGAATTGTCAAATTGAAGTTGTTATGGTAAACAAATTATGTAAATTCAAGTCAACAAAATCCTGTCTCCATAAAGGATGATTAGAACAAGTTAAATATAAAAGTTTTCTTTCTAGTTCAATATTATTTTTTTTTTTTTATTGTGTCGAGCAACACAATACAAATGGGAAAGAAGTGAATTTAACGCTTAAGCAGGAGGACTTCGCCCATGTCGCCCATACTACTCAGAAACGGAGAACGACCCATAATTCGTCGACATCTGGGCCGAGCTGGAAGCAACATACCACTACAGAGCCGGCCCCAGCATCATGCTAAAAAGGTCCGCGAATGGTCGTTCAGCGGAAAAACAATTTGAGTTCCTGGAGCAGGTAGAATGGTCCGCCAACACGTTCGTTTTGGATTTAGACATGATCCCCCGAGCGATGCCGGAACTGCTCAAGGGAAGGGCTTTAAAGTGGTTTGTCGCCAACAACAAGTAATGGAGAACCTGGGCGGAGTTAATAGAAAGCTTCCACACCCATTTTCTGCCAAAAATTTCTTCATTAGGCTGGCGGATCAGGTCCGGCAACGGAAGCAGGGCTTCAGCGAGTCGTTCAAGGACTACATGATCGACATGCAGACGATGGTGAGGCCACTTAGCTATTCCACGAAAGAGACAATAAGCATTATTAAAGAGAACTGCACCCCAAGCCTACGAATGTTCTTAAGAGCATACAAAGTGTCGGACCTGGACACGCTAATGATCCTAGCCGATGAGTACGAAGAACTTGAAAAGGAACGGGAAGTCTTCGCACAGGAGAACAAGTTCTCAAAGACAAAGTCGGCGTCACCAACACAGGCGACATGCAGGAGATGCGAGGAGGTAGATAACCAGGACACACGAGGAAACGACCAATGGTCACCACCACACCAAGCCAGACGACAGCAGGCAACAGACGCACCACGCGGAGGCCATTGGGCACCACCCCCACAGCAACAGAGACAGCCAAACAATACCTTGCGGAGGCCGCCAAGCAACACACAGAGGCCACAAGAGGCCACCCATATCACAGACCCGCAGGAGGCCTGTCGGAAATGCGGTGGGAACGGACACTGGGCTAGAGGATGTCGAAACCAGGGGTTGCTGTTTTGCTGGATATGCGGCAAGGTGGGTGTCAGGAGCGTCGATTACTGCCAACGATCGAGGAGGAGCAGCAGTTGTCCGCAGCTGTGATGGTTGGTGGGAACAGCTACAAAGCCACAATCGTCACCGGAGCAACGGCAAGCTTCGTTAGCGAACAAATGGCGGACAGTATTGATGCTCTAGGATTACAAGGACGAGACGGCAAGTTTGCTTGGCAGACGGAAGATGCGGCGGAATTGATGCGCAGCTCGAGGTAGATGTCAAATTCGGCAACAAAAAAGTGACCATGCGCCTGTTGATTTTACCCGAAGTAGTGGATCCGTTGGGATGGTATAGAACTTCCTGAAACATGTCGGAACCGAGATAAGCTGTGCTGGACACGAGATAATAATACCAGTCAGGAACCGACACAATGGATGGCTCGAGGAGAAGATATCGGTAGCAGTCGTTTAACAGGTAAACGAGTGGCAGATCGCACTGGAAAAAAATAGTAGGCAATACACGGCGTTCACGGTACTAGGAAAAGGTCTATTTTAGTGGAGGTTAATGCCGTTCGGACTCCACTCAGCGTCGGCAACGTTTCAGCTGGTTTTGGATCAAGTAATTGGCCCCGAGATGTCACCTCACGCATTCGCTTACCAGGATGACATAATAGTGATCGGTCGCACGCTAGAAGAACACAAGAGAAACCTTGGAGAAGTGTTCAGGCGTCTAAAGAAAGCAAACCTGAGGCTGAATCCAGAAAAATTCCAATTCTTTAAGAAGGAACTGCTGTACCTGGGACATCGAGTGACTAGCGATGGAATAGGAACAGATCCAGAAAAAGTAGCCGCCATCGCTGAGCTGGAGCCGCCATCGACCGTCCAAGAACTCAGCCATACCTAGGAGTAGCGTCGTGGTACCGCCGGTTCGTACCAGATTTTTCCAGAATTGTCAAATCCCTGTGTGGACACCAGAGCACCAGATGGCGTTTGAGGAAGTAAAGGCAAGACTCATGGCAGACCCGGTGCTAGCATGACCGGACTTTAGTAGAACTTTCATCCTGCAATCAGACGCCAGCGACTACGGCATCGGGGCAATACTGACTTAGGACACCGAAAAAAGCGAAAAAGTTATCTATTCGAGCCGAACTCTAAACGGTGCGGAAAAAACTATTCAACAACGGAGGAGTGTTTGGCGATCGTCTGGGCGATCGGAAAGCTCAGACCATATCTGGAAGAGTACCCACTTTAAGGTAGTAACCGACCACATGGCCCTGAAGTGGCTCAAAAGCATCGAAAGCCCTTCAGGAAGGATCGCCAGATCGGCCCTGGAGCTACAGCAGTACGACTTTGAGATAGCGTACAAAAAGGGTCAGCTAAACGTGGTGGCCAACGCATTATTAACGACAACCACTAAAAGAGATGCTATGAGGATTAAAGGAGGCAACGGCGACCGCAGAAGTACCCGGACTATGTGATGGAAGGTGAAACACTGTACAGACACATACCACACCGAGCAGGCAGTGAAGACGCGTCATGGAAGATGTGCGTCCCAAAGGTACTACGAGAAACAGTGTTGAGGAAAAGCCACCACGCGCCATCGGCGGGACACATAGGAAGCTGGAGGAAAATTGCACGGCTGGCAGCCCGATACTACTGGCCAGGCATGCATAGAGACACCCGAGCCCGCGTAAGAAAATGCCAGACTTGCATGCGGTTATAGCCCAATCAAATAAAAACGGACGGGAAGATGTTGACCCAAGTGCCAGAGGAACCATAGGCCACGGTACGTGCAGACTTCGTTGGACCCCTACCAAGATCTAAGCACGGCAACCAAATGCTGCTGGTCATGATAGGCAGATTTTCGAAATGAACGGAACTGGTACCCCTGCGCAGTGCGAAGGCGTTTAGGGAGCGCATAATCGCAAGGTACGGGGTCCCGAAGGTGGTCATAACGGACAACGGAGTGCAGTTTGCAAGCCGTATTTTCAAAAGTTTCCTGGCTGAGATGGGTATCAGACAATAATTCACCGCACCATAGAGAATCCGACAGAACGAGCAAACAGAACATTCAAGAGCATGATTGCGCAATTCGCAGGGCAGGACCAGAGAAATTGGGTCGAGAAGTGGCCGGAGATTATGCTACCATTGAACAAAGCGACACATTCAAAGAAAGAACGGACCGCTCACGTCGATGAGCTTAAGCAACCACAAAACGAGCAGACGGCAGACACATCAGATGACTAACAAGAGGTACAACGCGACAGGATTAAGCGTCAGGAGGAAGCGAGAGTCATCCTGGCGCATCGCAGGAAAGATATACACTAGGATTTTACATTGGTATACACTAGGATTTTACATTGGTCCAGACTGCGAGGCCACAGGATAATGAGTCAGGCCTAAGCGAGAGTCATCCACACGCCACGCAGAAAGGAAAATCATAAGGATAGGATATAGAGGGTGACCACTGACCCCGACGACGAGGCAACGGTTTCAGCGTCTGGCGCGAGCCAGAGTCAACCGATTACGCCACGTAGAATGGAGTACGCGCGGAGGGAGGCAAGCAACACAAATCGCGCAGTCCAGACACACACCGTAGCATCCGAAGATTCTATTCGGAATGCGCCGGAAGAGCTCGTCTAGTTGTTACCCGTGGAAAGGGGGAGGACGGTGCAGAATCAGATCTACACCGTATTTAGCTGGTTACAAAAGGCAGAAGCACGCATCGCACCAACAGTTAAAAGGAAAAAAAAACACAGGCAAACCCTGGAAGTAAATGTCGGTTCAAACGAAAGTGCAACTCACCAAGGGCTGAAAAGCCCTGCTGCAAACGAAGGCCAAGCGCTATTTAAAGCCGCTGCGCCCAGTGTACTTAAGACTAAGGACAAAGAATGGCATAGACTGGTAGGAGCTGACGAAAAAAAAATGGAAAATGGAAGACAAATCAACAAAAAGCTGTAAGGGCAGATCCAATTTTGCCAACTCACCATTGCCCAGGGAAGGGGGCGCCTCGATAAGCGATCGATTGGCACACGCAAAGTGGAAATATCGACAAAAGGTGAAAATATCGCAACGGGCAGGTGGCAACGCATCACCGTCGGTATCGATGGTCGATGAAACATTGATAACGCACGGATAATGTGACCAAACGGAGGAACCATGGAAAAGAGTAGGCCGCAGCAATGAGCAACGAGCTGGGGATCGATAGCCGATGAGTATCGTTTTCCCAGTGGAAGCATGTGAAATATCGGCGCGGAAGATTTGAAGTTGCTACGAGGAGGACGACCAGCGCTGTAGAAACTCAATGGAGTTAAAAGCGTCGAGGCAGCATCGAGTGAGCAACGAGGGAGCGCCGGGGGAATCGACAGGAGCATCGCAAGGACTCGAAGGCTAGGAAATGCAAGAAAACGCCGGAGACTAGGAACGATCTTTTAAATGTTTCCCGAAGTAAGGGGGAATGTGAGGAGTTGAATAACTCCCCACAATTCTTAGCAGCAGAAGCAACAGATGGCTGGCCGCTTACCAGATACGCGGCGAATTCTCGTAGTAACGGCGCGGCGAGGAGCGGTTGGAGAAGAAGAGAGTTTGGAGACCAACGGGGGAGAATAAGAGAGTTCGGACACCAAGGATGGAGAATAAGAGAGTTTGGAGACCAAGGTGTGGAGAACTAGAGAGTGGAGACTTGGCGGGCAGGGCAGAGCAAGAATGCCATGTGCAAAAGGCAATAAAGGAACTCCACCGGACTTTGGACTCTGCCGTGAACTTTGGACCAGGAGAGGAAGGGCCACATCTCGGCAGCAGAGCGGCACCAGGCGGGCTACATGCATCTTGAGAACCAGCGGGACGGCAGCATTAGGAAAAATTTTGTCTAAGACCCAACGTACCCTGCCCGACCAAGCAGGACCTGATCGATTTGTGTTTTTAAGACATCGGCAGCGACGCCAGCAGACATCACCGGCAGCCACGTCGCCATTTTCGCGCGGAGCTCATTGGGGAGCGCAGGAACGTCGCGGACATCAAGGATTAGGGTGAAGCCGGGTGGAACATTCGTCTGCGCTAGGCGTAAAGCAAAGAACACGGCTAGGCAGCTTCCTGGCGTTAGCCTTAACTGTCAGCGCGAACTGAGCAAGAACCCAGCGGACCGTCCGGGTCAGAGCAAGGTACAGGTATTGTTTCGAAAGGCGTTGCCCTGAAGAGAGCAAGGCTTGTTCACCCTGGTCTGAGAACGGTGACGCTTCCCAAGCCCTCAAGGCCGAACTCTCTGCTAGTCCAAGGCGCGTGAGCGACCCCGAGGCAGCGCGTCGACAAGCCAGCAGAGGCGGCCACTACGAGCATCCCGAGACACAGGACCCAGCGGTCGTCAAGTCAACGCGTCGACAAGCCAGGACGAGGGACATCAGCAGCCTGTGGAACCAGAGCGAGGAGATACCGAGGCAAGCCCAGCCACACACCCGCTGTCAGTCACGTCATATAAATTTGGTGGGACGAACACACAATCTTCTGAGCTAGCCGCACGAATCTCGTAGCGAGCAGACCAACAAAATCATTTCGTAAATGCAGAATTATTTTATTATAATAAAGAAGTGTTTTATTATAATAAGGAAGTGACACGCTTAAAAACCTCAATGAGCAACAAACAAAATAAAGAGCGACTAACCTCCGTGAGCCGAAGAGACGGGTACTTCTCGTAAGTCTCAACGCGTGATCGCAAAGTGCAAGAAACGACCCTACTGACGATCGATAGCCAAAGAGCACGATCTTCCTCTTACTTACTGTTACTCCTACTCCGACTGCGAATGCCCTGGTCAACAAAATTGTTGCGCTGACCGGTTGTTCCGGTCACAAAAGGGGATATACATGAAACCAAGCTTCAGACCAAATCTGAGGAACATTTTCGAGCTGTACTACACGTACCAACTAAAGAGCAGCAAGGGCTTGCAACCACTCTTCAAGGTCGAGCTACAGCCAGACAGAAGGGTCTTGAAGAAAAATGAAGTGCACCCCATTTGTGACCTGTAATACTTATTGCACCGAAGGATTTAGGGTGAAGAGCCACATAAAAAGAGATGAAGGACCGCGTGCGACGAGTGACAGCAACGCGCTATCAGAATTTCCAAAATGCGTACACTTTCTCGCGTATGACGCCAGAAGTATTTTTAGGCATGGCTGCAAGATCCACATTTGGACAATTAAATACCCAGAAGGGCTTCTAATACGCCGATGCCCTTCGATCAGGGACGAAAAACTCACTCCAGTGAAATTTAGAAATCATTCAGCAGATCCAAGTACAGTCACATAGCAATGATGGAATTCATGTCATTCATGAAAGCGACCATGCAAACACTGGTTCAAAACCAGAACATGGTGTTACAGCTGCTTGCCGCAAAGCAGTCCAAATAATCGGTGGCAAATCTACGAATAACAATGGCGTTTCACGGCACAACCTTGAAGTAACACAGTTCGTGAATGAAAATCATATCGGCATTATGCTACTGGTAGAGACGCACCTCACAAACAAATACAACTTCCAAATAAGGGGCTACACTTTCTACCGTGCATCTTAATCAGAGAACCCATTAAGCACCACTTGATGGAATTTGGAACTAATTACTTGCAGACCACGTCTATCAAAGTACAGTCATGTAACGAAAATCTCGCCATAGCCGCTGCCTACTGCCCGCCTCACCTTACAATTTCTGATGGACAATTAATGGACTTTTTCAACCTACTTGCAGATCGCTTTATAGCTGCAGGGGACTGTAATGCCAAACACACGCTTTGGGGATCACGCCTCGTGACTCCCAAAGGAAGATTATTATATAATGCAATCATAAAACCAAGCAACAAATTAGACTATTTTTCCCCTGGCAGCCCCACATACTGACCAACAGACCCCACGAAAGTTCCAGACTTAATTGACTTTGGGGTGACAAAAAACATTCCAAGCAATATAATAAGCACCAAAGCGCTTTCGGGCCTCTCATCAGACCATTCGCCAGTGCTAACAACTCTTCTTCAAAGCCCAAAAACTACAGATCACCCCCACAGGCTGACTTCGCACAGATCCAACTGGTTAAAATATAACAAGGAAGAACGCTATAGTCGAGTACCTCGACTATCAGATACCCGTTACTCAGCTAAAGGGACCAAAGGGAAATGGAGACATGCAAGCAGCAAAGCGAGAATAAAATGCGCCACCTACCGGCGGTAGACAGATTTAAGCAAATTTTTTTGGATCAATCGATAGGTATTGACGAGACCAATATATTTCAGTTAAAATTTTTTATCTAGCATGAAAATTGTAAGCGTCAAAGGTTTAAGCGGTTTGTGGGCGTTAAAGTAGGCGTGGCAAACTTTTTTTTGGGTCAATCGATAGGTATTGATTAGAACAATATATTTCAGTAAAAATTTTTACTCTAGCATCAAAACTGTAGGAGCCACAGTTTTGGGCGGTTTGTGGGCGTTAGAGTGGGCGTGGCACTCTGCTGAAACAAACTTGCGCTGCGTAGGAAGTTCAGGAATCTGCACGCCTAATCTCAATAGCCTAGCTCTAATAGTTTCCGAGATCTCAGCGTTCATCCGGACAGACAGACAGACGGACAGACGGACATGGTTAGATCGACTCGGCTAGTGATCCTGATCAAGAACATATATACTTTATGGGGTCGGAATCTCTTCCTTCTGCTGTTACATACTTTCCGAAGAATCTAGTATACCCTTTTACTCTACGAGTAACGGGTATAAAAAGTATGTAAGTTCACACATCAAATTAACCCCTCTGTTCAACATCGACTGCTCTACCGATGCTCTTGAATATGTACTCTTGGAGGCAGCCACTATCTCAACACCACAAGGAGGTGACGTGCAAACCAACCACTTGAAAAACAAATCTGCAAATTGAACGGCTAGTCCTAGAAAAGAGGCGCCTGCGGCGTGCCTGGCAAACAAACAGATCTCTGTCATCAAAACAACGTCTTAAGGAAGTCACTAGCAGTATAAATCGAGCTCTAAAGCAAGAAACAGAAAACGCACAGCAGCGGTCCATTATAAAACTTTTGGCCAACTGGTACAAAACATCCTCTATGGAGGGCTAACCCAAATCTGAGCTCTCCAATCGAAACAGTCACTCCGATAAGAAATTCATCTGGCAGCTGGGTCCACAGCGACGAAGCTAGAGCCGAAACTTTTGCTTTACATCTCAGAAACGTCTTCCAGCCGAACCCTGCCGCTGGTTAATTTGTCCTACCACAAATCATATCAGAATCTATTTCCCTACCACCATTGTTTCAGCCAAAGGAGATCGCGAAAATCATCGGGGAACTCATACCGAAAAAGGCCCTAGACGGTGACCTAATAACCCCAAAAATTATAATTGAACTTCCAAACTCTGCTATTGAGGTTATTTGTAAGCTCTTCAATGGGATCATAAGTCTCGGCTACTATCCGAGAAAATTGAAAAAATCCATTATTCCGAAGCCCGGAAAAGACCACACAATTCCGTCATCCTACAGACCAATATGTTTATTGTCGTGTCTGTCTAAATTGTTTGAGAAATGACTTCTAACTCGCATAATACCATATTTAGGAGCACACCATGTTATCCCTGCTCACCAATTCGTCAAAACAGCAACAATACAGCTAGCCAATCACCTCCTCTTAGTAGAGAGGTGGCTATCTGACTGGCGTATTAAAATAAATGAACATAAATGTAAACACATAACTTTTACTCTTAACAGGCCAACATGCCCTCCACTATCATTTTGTAGTACGCAGATTCAACGAAGTAACGTATCTCGGCGTTCACCTTGACAGACCGCTAACCTGGAGAAGACACATCGAAAGCAAGAAAGTACATCTAAAACTATAAGCCAGCAGCTTTCACTGAATCCTTAACGCTCGTTCGCCTCTGCGTCTGGACTACAAGGTCCTGCTCTACAACTCCACTCTCAAGCCGATCTGGATATATGGCTCTCCCAGCTATGGGGGAACGCGAGCAGCAGCAACATAGACATTATACAGCGCGCCCAATCGAAAATCCTGAAAACTATCTCTGGGGCACCATGGTATATTCGCAACAAAAACATCCACAGGGACCTCGGCATTCTTGCCGTAAAAGATAAAATAGACTAACAAAAAGCGTCCTACAATGAAAAACGATCCAATAAATAAGAAGCAAAGCATAAAAATCAAGGAAGAACGCTATAGTCGAGTACCCCGTTACTCAAAGGAAAATGGAGATATGCAAGCAGCAAAGCGAGATTAAAATGCGCCACCTACCGGCGGTAGACAGATTTAAGCGTTATGGGCGTTAGAGTGGGCGTGGCAAATTTATTTTTGGATCAATCGATGATCCTGATCAAGAATATATATACTTTATGGGGTCGGAAACGCTTCCTTCTGCCTGTTACATAATTTCCGACGAATCTAGTATACCCTTTTACTCTACGAGTAACGGGTAT